CGAACCCAAGTAATACCACAGCAGCCCGTACCACCAAAAAATTAAATCAGGCGTCAAAGTTGAGGCAGTTTAATAAAACCCTCAGTGGGAAACCCTGGCCAATTCCCAAGGGCAGCCACACAGCTAACATGGTATGGAGATTACATCTACCCCTCCTTGCCGGAAGGCAGACAGCTGGGCCTGCCTCCAAAGCGGCTTTAGGCAGAGACTGAGTGACTCAGAGGACAAGAGGTGTCCAGGGGGCCCCAGCTATGTAATTCCAGCAGCGGTGTCCTTGGGGCAGCCCCTTAACCTTTGAGCCGCCCAGGTTAGCAAGCCGTGCCCAGCCCCCACCCTTATTTACCGAAAACGAAGTTGTCTGGCCTGAAGATCTGCCCAAAAGGGCCCGAGCGCACCGAGTCCATGGTGCCAGGCTCCAGGTCCACGAGCACAGCGCGGGGCACGTACTTGCCACCTGGCGGAAGAAGAGGGTCAGCGAGGGGAGGCCCGCGGGGTCGCAAGAGGGACTGGGGCGGGGGTCTCACCGGTGGCCTCGTTGTAGTACACATTGATGCGCTCCAACTGCAGATCGCTGTCCCCGTGGTACGTGCCGGTAGGATCGATGCCATGCTCGTCGCTGATCACCTCCCAGAACTGCAATCGATGAGGGCAGGCCGGGCAGGCGCAGGCTGAGTCACGGCGGCCGGTGCGCCGGGAAGCGGCCCCGCCCCGGATGGGTGCGGCAGGCCCTCCCCTCCCCCGCCTGCGCGCCCCGTCGCCAGGCCCACAGAGCCTCCGAGTCCACCCCCATCCCCGCTAGCCGCCCAGGTACGGGCCCGGTCCCGCGCGGGCGCTTGGGCCGCAATGCGGGGCGCCGCCCGGCCAGCGGTGCCGCCATCTTCCCCGGTCGGCCGGCTCATCTCCCTCCCCCAGGGCTCGCCCAGCCAGGTCCGCAGTATCCCGGACCCCCACCTTGGCGCCGATCTGGTTGCCGCACTGCCCGGCTTGCAGGTGCACGATCTCCCTCATGGTGGCGGCTGCGCGGGAAGCAAGAGGAACTGAAAAGCGGAAGAGCAGACGCGCAGAGTGCTACAACCGACGCTCCGCCAGTGCTTATATACCCATCGCGCCCGCCTCTACCAACCCTGGATTGGGCCCCCAGAACGAGGCCGGCAAGCGGGCTCACTTGATTGGTTATATCACCATCAATCGTGCGGCCTACGGGCTGCCTTCCCAACGACGCCCACTTGTTATTGGTCAAGAGCGGCTGCGGACCTCCCTATCACAATTCCCCCTTACCGGGCTCAACAGTGTCTAGTCCATTGGGTGTTTCAAATGATTGATTTGTCCTCCCATTGGCTGACTCTCGGAAGCTCGCCGACGCGCTGGCACTATTGGCTGCGCTGGGTTGGCGTCCTGGTAACCGCCGCAATGCAGCGGGACGCGCGGGGGCGGGGGCGCGGGGAGCCGGGCGCGGGTTTCCGGCCGGACTAGGGGCCTGGGAGCGGGCGGTGTAGGCTGGACTTGGGTTGGAGCCCGACAGTGCGCCTTCTCGAGGACGGAAGCGGCAGAGCGACGCAGCATCGGGGCCCGGCGGGCAGCCAGCTATACACCTGGGCCCTGGCGAGCTCGATAGAGGCGGAACCGGCCCTGTCCTGGGGAGTCTCCAAGCCTAGCTCGGGGTGCGAGCTGTGAACGGCTAAATTAGAAGCGGGCTTGGTGTCCGGCGGCGCGGCTGGGTCCTCCCCGGACGCGCAGGGACTCCGCCCTGGCCGCCTCTGCGGCGGTGCGCAGTGTTGTGGAGACGGTGCTGGCCCGGCGCCCGTCGCCTTGGAGCCGCGGCCCAGGATCGCGGAGCTGCGTGGAGACTGCAGGGCCTGGCATGCCTGGCCTTGTCTCTGTTTGTACTTCAGAGGGAAAACAAAACGTATAAAGGAAAAACAGTTAAACTACATGTGGTTGCACCATCAAGCACTTTAAAAGCAGTGTATTTGAGTTATGTTTTTGTAACGTTTTAAAAGGGATGAATTACACCGTAGGTGTCTGCCCTTGCTTGGCCTGTGGGCATCGCTGGATCTGGCCTTCCGGGTGAACTTTTTACCCTTTGTCTACCAACAGGGGGCAATTTCTACTTCTTATTTATCTACGTAGAGGAAATGCACCCTTTCCTCATCACCTGATGTGCAATACCACAGTGTTGTTTTGGTATCCAATGACTGAAATATTGTCAAACAAGCAGCCTCCTGAGCCTACGTAGCGACATCAGCATTTTCATCCCCTCCCCCACCCCTGACCCGTGATCTGTAGCTCTTGGGGTATGAGGGGCATTCTGTTGCCCACGTTTGCCAGTTTGCCAACTGAACCCAGAGGGTGAGTCAGCATCAATGCCAAACTGTCCCAGCAGGGCCTGGGGGATGAGCTCCCTTCTGGACAGACTGGTCCAGAGAGGGGGCTGGCTCCTGTTGACCACTGAAATAAGACCCATTCTTCAGAAGGGCTGGAGTCCTGCAATGGCATGTGGGGTATGCAGGGTCATTGCCAGGCATCCTAGGGTCCTCCCAGTGCCCTTAGCATCCCCTGAGTTGGCTTAGGGCCATACAGAGTAGCTTAACTGCCTGGGCAGTAGATAGGGAGTCCTTTTAAACCCTGTGGTGAGTTGTTACAAATGGTCAAGGAGGGAGAAGCTCCAGTTTTCCCCCAAATGAACACAACCCTGCAGTTTTCCCTTCAAGATGTTTGAGTCCCCAGCATTCTGGCATCCTGTTAAAGCCACCCCACTCCCAGTCTGTAGACTGAGGGCCCATTCTCACTAGAAAAAGCTCTTGCTTTCTTGACCAGTGCCCACAGTGGTGGGAGGTCAGCATGGCACTCTATTTAACAGGTCATAGAATATAGGTTGTGCCACCTGCCTGCATGAGTCAGAACTCTTCCTGGCACGAAGCTGTTTGCCTTGTTCCTCATGTTGCCCTTGTGAGGTGGACTTTAGCTGGGGATAAGACAGCAAAAGAAGCCAGGCATGTGGCTCAGGCCTGTAATCCCAGCAGCTCAGGAGGATCAGATAGGAGGATCACAAGTTTAAGACCAGCCTCAGCAATTTAGTGAGCCCCCAAGCAACTTAGTGAGAACCTTTCTCAAAAAGGGCTGGGGATGTAGCTCAGTGGTAAAGTGCCCTTAGTTTCAATATCCAGTACCAAAAGACAGAGAAAGAGAGAGAGAGAGAGATGAAAAGAATAAAAGATAGCAAAAGACTCCCTGTGGCCTATTGGGCCTGAGCTCAACAAGGACAGTGACTGCAGAGCTGATGGGGAGAGGCGATGCAGGTTCCCACTCTGAACCAAGTGTGCTGCTGCCCCTGTGGGGGAGAGGAGGACAGAATGGGCCAGGAGGGCCTGAATCTGGGCCTGTGGCCAGGCAGGATGCACACCAGAGAGGGACAGAAGAGCAGGGAAGCAGGGTGGGATGGGTGGCGGGAGCACTAAGCACCTGCCCTCCCTTTCTAGCTTGCAGCTGTTGGAGGCGTCCACAAGGAAGGCTCTGTTTACTGGTGGCCATGGTCCCAGTGGGAGGCTGCATTACCGCCAGGCAGGGGCAGCAGGCAGACAGTCCTCGTGGCCTTAAAGAACCCTGTGGTCAGCCTTTATGGGAGGCCTCCTCTGTCTCGGAAGGAGAGGTGCCCAGGATGCTTCCTTCCCCTCTCCACGAGAAGGCATGCCTCCCCAAATGGGTCTCCCTGGGGAGCCAGTCAGGCCCAGGGATCTCAGAGGGACCTGACGCTACGTCAGCAGGAGGGTCCTACAGTCACAGGGTGGGGGAGTCAAAGCTGGATGCATGAGCTAGCCATGGTGAGGGCTGTTCTGTCTTGCTCGAGCCCATTCCTGCACGTTTTTGGGTTTCCAGAACAAGCAGTCACCTTCTTTAGTGAAACCCAGGCCTAGGAGGCTGGGGGGTTGGGGAGGACCTAGAGGACACCAGGGTTAAGGGGTCAGAGAGGGCCTGGGGAGCCATGGGGAGCACTAAGGGAATCAAAGGGTAAAAGGACAGGTCCACAGGCAAGAAATGGCCCTGGCCGCAGCCTCATCTTCCTGATAGCCACATCCCGTAGCCTATAGTCTAGTTAGGCAAACCCCAGAGGGGGCTGGGAAGAAAGGTTCTGGGCCAGGAGGATGTGAGTGGCAGATGGGCAAACTGGTATTCCTGTCTGGGGTCAGCTCCTGCTCTCACCTCCCCCTACACACACAACTTGGTGACTGAATAATGAGGTGACCGAATCTTGCTTTCCTTGATGGTAGTGTGGGGGTGGTGGGATTGGGGTGGGTGCAGGCAGCCCAGGGCTGCAGGTTGCGGGAGGTATCCAGGCAGACAAGCCTTCCAGTGTGGAAACCAGACCTCACAGTGGGGGTGCATGGGGGAAGACGGAACACCCAGCCAGCACCCGCATCGCCTCCCGGGGCTCCCCTGCCCTCCGGGGCGCCCGTCCCCTCCCCTGTAACCCGGTGTGGGGAACAGTGGCTCGGCCTCGCCTTCTCTCATCGGCCTTCCGGCGGCGGTTGCGCAGGTGGAGCAGGTTCCCGCGGGCCGAGGGGCGCCCCCTGGCGTCCTAGCGAAACCCTGGCCCTCTTAAGCACCGCCTGGGGCTCCGCATCCGTCTCCCCAGCAAGGACCCGGACCCGGGGGCGGGGGGTGGTGCCTCGAGGACAACTTGGTCCTCTTCGCAGCTCCCTCAACCCCCTTCTCCAACGCGACGTCCAGTGCCCGGCCGCCTTCCTTCCGAGCACCCCAGGCGGCGCAGAGGGAGGCCGGCCGCCCTACTTGCTGGGCTCTCCTGCAGCGCGCAAGGCCGCCAGCCGGTCCAACCCCCGGGAGTTCGCGAGGGAAGCCTGCCCCTGCAAACCCACTGTTTCCTTGGGCCACGGAGAGAAACCAGCGGCAGCTTAGGACGCGGCGGGTCACCTCCGCCCCAGCCCCTGATGTCCGCTAGGGGCAGCATTGGCGCTGCTTCTCCTGGGGGAGAAGACTACTACTCCTGGGTAACAGGCTCATTTATTTTCAAAGAAGGGGCTGCGGAGACTCAGGAGTCTGCGCCACACCCCTCCCCCAGGGGTGCCTGGCAAGCTCGCTCTCAATTGCGGGACCCTGAGGCCAGTAGGGCTGGGGTGGTCTGCTGTGGTGCCCACCCCTTACAACTGCTGGGAAGCCAGGATCTCAGGGTTATCATAGCAGTGAGCCTCTTTGGCAGTAGTCTGAGAGGGGCCACAAGCTCTACCAGGGCAACAGTGAGTCATCAGGCGGTCCCAGGGTTCCAGGGAATGGAGCCAGAGGGGCAGCCAGGCCCAAGACCGCAGGCAACGCGGCAGCCAAGATGGGCGTCGCTGCTGCAGAACATTAACCAGGATGACAAGGAGCACCAGCCCCACCAGGGGACCCCCGACTGCAGCCAGCACCATGCTCCCTGCCAGGGAGAGCCCAAAGGCTGCCAGGGGCAGCAGAAGGAAGGTGAGGAGCAGATACACAATGGCCACCCAGCGGTAGCGAGCAGTCAAGTCTCCAAAGCGCTTGGCCAATGGGATGGGCAGCCGCAGGATGGGCACCAAGTACCACAGCAGTATGCCGGCCAGATTGAAAAGGAAGTGAATGAGGGCAACCTGGAGGGCAAAATGGCAGGAGGGTTAGAAGCCTGGTCCATGTAATAGGGGGTCACCTGGGCTCTTAGAACTCCTGGCCCTCCCATTCTGCAGAAAGGGCCCAAGTTTGAAGCTTGTCTGTGGCATCCTGCTCAGAGGCTGAGATGGACCACCTGGGAGAGCAGGTTCTGACCAGGTGTGGGCACGTTCCTACTGTAAAACCCTCCTGCACATATCTGGGTCAGCCCCTGTGGGGTAACTGCATCCCTGCCAATATCAAGGCATGACCTGCGAGCAGGCCCAGAGCCACACCAGCAGGGAACACACAACCTCTCCAGGAGGGGTGCAGTCGGGCAGGCATCTGGAAGGGGGTAGAGCAGGGCCCTGCACTGGGAGGGCTGAGTGGACAGCTGGGGCAGAGACTGGGCACAGGCTGGAGTCGGGCAAAGCCTAGTCATCTCTTCCTGCCAGGGTTTCAGGAGTTGAGCCTGTCCAGGCACCCAGGATGCTCCAATCAGGGCAGTGGGCCAGAGACAGGGTGCTTTAGAGAGTTAGCAGCACTGTAGTCTGGGAGCAGGGTGCAGAGCTGGGGGGCTCAGAGTTGGTGGGAGGCACCCTGTAGACAGAACCATGGCCAGGCACAGGTGGCATGGAGTGCCCAGCACAGGTGGATGGGGCCTCTGCAAGATGGCGGCTGGGAAGGCAGGTCATTGTCCAGGGGCCCACCTGTTGGGTTTAGGGGACTGGTACATGGGGGAGCAGGGGTTCACAGGAAGGCATTTTGGGAGTGTGGCACAGAGGCTTGGAGCCCCCCAAGGCCAGGGTATATCTCCAGGGCACATAGTGCAGAGCACAGGGTAGATGGTAGAGGAGCAGGGGCCACACAGGGGAACCCGGGGCGGTGCTAAGAGAAAGGGGTGGAGGGTATAGGTAAAGCCCCAGGCCATGCTGGGAAAGCAGCTAGAAAGGACAGGTCTCAGGAGGAAGAGCAGGGACTAGGGCCCTGAGACCTGGAGGGTGTGAGGGGCCCAAGGAGGGGCCAAGGCTTTTGGGTGGAGCTCCAGGAATTCAGGGAGAACTTGGGCCGTGGCTGGGAGTAGGAAGGGACCTCAGGCAGGGAAGGGGCTGAGGGTGGTACCTGGACAGCAAAGAGCAGCATGTCAGCAGGGCTGGCCAAGGCAGCCAGCAGGGCCGTGGTGGTGGTGCCGATGTTGGAGCCCAGGAAGAGGGGGTATGCCCGGTCCAGGCTGATCACCCCAACACCTGGGGAAGGGGAGGTCACCACAAGGCCCCATCCTGAGCCCCCCAAGACCCACTACCTCCTGGGCTCACCCATGAGTGGCACGATGGCTGCAGTGAAGACGCTGCTGCTCTGGAGCAGGAAGGTCAGGCCAGCGCCCACGAGGATTGCCAGGTAACCGCTGAGCCAGCCAAAGGGGAAGGGGAAGTCTGGGGGTGGGCAGCTGGGTCACGGGCTTGTCCCTGCCCTGCTCTCAGGTCCCAGATCCCGGGGACGGGACGCCCCCCACCTGCGTTGATGACACTCCTCACAGCCTGGGCTATGCGGCCTTGCAGCAGGGAGTTGAGCAGCTTGACGATGAGGACCAGGCAGAGGCACAGCACCAGCAGGGAGCCCGCCAGCAGGATGCAGCCCACCGCCAGGTCTGTGAGCGGGGAGTGCGCAAACAGGTGCTGGCCTGGGGGAGGAGCAGTGAGCTTGGCCCCAGCCAGCCGGGTGGGAGGTAGGGGGAAGGGTGGTGGGAGGGGGAGGGGGAGGGGAGGGGGGGGGGGGGAGGGCGGGGGAGGGAAGGGTGGGGGAGGATGGGGGACTGAGGAGGGGGCTCACAGGGCAGCCTGTCCTCAGGGACTGTGTTGTTCTCAGTGCAGGGACCAAAGGCTCCACATTCGTTGCTGCTACCCTCCGTCTGGGGAACAGGGGGGCAGGAGACAGAACTCAGGACAGGTTCAATGAGCAGAGGAGATCAGAGGGCTCAAGGGTCAGAGTGGGTGGGGTGATTTGGTGGATCAGAGGTCAAATGAAGGACTGGGGTCAGGGGCACCTCACCATCTCTGCCCTGATGCCACACCACCGCTTAATGAGGCTGCTGTTGGTAGTATTGCCAGTAGCACTGCCTGCAATCATATTGCTGTCCAGCTGGGGACAGAGGGGTTGTGATTTGTATTCAGAAGTCCACAGGGCTAGTCCTGCTCTGCCTACTTATGCCTTCCCCTCTCCCTCAGCTGGAGCAGGCTCAGACCTTGCTTGGCCCCTGTCCAGGGCAGGGCCTCCACCTCCTTCCCTTCAGTGGCCAGGCCCACGGGCGTCCTGAGGATATGGCCATTCTCACCTGCACAATGAGGTGTGTGAGAGGCTGTGTCAGCGCCTTGAGGATGTCAGGGGCCTGCCCCCCCGGCTGCAGGCTGGCAGCACCCAGGACCAGCTCGCTCAGCCTCTCCAGCATGGCAGTGGCACTCTCCAGCGGCAGTAGGACAAGCACCGTGAGCCAGTTGAAGATCCCGTGCACTGCTGAGCCACTGAAGGCCCTATACCCACAGGGGGCTGTTGGGAGACTGGGCTACGGCGGCTGCAGCCCCCGCCCCGCCCCGCCCCCCAGCCCTGACTCACCTGCGAAACTCGTCCCGGTCCCCAGACTGTGCCATTGAGACCAGGGTGCTGGTGATGGATGTGCCAACATTGACGCCCATGATGATGGGCACAGACACCTGGACGGTCAGCACTGTGGGGACACCGTGTCAGCCACCCCACCTGCCCCACTACCCCCACCACTATGGATAAGGGGGGTACACTCACACTTGGACGACACCATGCTGACCACAATGGAGGAGGATGTGCTGGAGCTCTGTACTAGGACTGTGACCAACACACCTATGACCAGTCCAGCCACAGGGTTGGACAGCACCACACTCTCCTTGAAGATGTCTCCTGCCATTTTGCCTGTGTCCAAAAGAGTTTCATTGAAGTTACAGAGGGCTGACAGCCTGCGCCAGCCCCAACTGCCCATCTGGTCACTTACTGCCCAGTAGCTGGAAGGCAGAGCTAAGGATGTCCAGAGAGCAGATAAAGAAATAGAGGCTGCCCAGGAGCCCACAGGCCTTCAGGAAGCTGATGCCCATGTGGCGCAGTCTGCTGGCCATACCGAGCCCTGGGAACACAGGGCAGCACTGTCCTCAGCCAGCCCGCACTCTGCCCCCACCTCCCTTTCTTCTCTGTCCTCCAAGGATGGAGCTGTCTTCTCTGTCACCTCTCAGGTAGAGTCCAGGAACCCCTTCTGTCCCATGGAACAGGCCCCTTTTATTCCTCTTAGGGTCCCCAAGGTGGGGACTGGCTCCCCACTCCTGTTCCTTGGCAGGGTGGCCAAGCCCACACCCTAGTAGTTCCTGGAAGTGTGATCACCAGCAGGGAGGAAGAGGAGGGAAGGTGGGCAGCGTGGCCCTTCACCTCAGGGCAGGGAAGGTAGCTGAGCTGAGGGGCAGCGAATTTCCATGGGACCTATGCAGGCAAGAGTTGCCCTGTTCTCTCTTCACAGATCTGGGGAGTAAAGGGTCTGCTACCTGCTACCCCCAGTACCAGAGGCCTACCTTTCAGCTGGCCAGTGTCCTTCAGCTGAGGAAGGGCCGATGGGTCCTTGGTCCCCTCGTCTAAGACTGAAACAGAACTGGAGTTTCCTGTAGAATGGAGTCGAGTCCCCAGGAAGGGGACAAAAAAGGACAGGCAAGGGGAGGGACTGGGCATAAGGGGCTTGGGGTCGTAGCAGGAAAAGGTGAGGATGGGGCTCTGGCTCTGACCAGAGTGGTCAGTAACCCCCATGGCTCTTCAGGTTCAGGTGGTCAGCCAGATTCCCTCCCCTGTTCAGGGTGTGCTGTTGGACATGGGTGTTCCCTGAGGCTCCCGGTACCTGCATTTCTCAGACTCCAGTCCACCAGGTCAACCGTGTCCAGAGTTGGGGGGGGGAACCTGGTCACCAGCGAGGGAATTCGGCATGGATTTGGGGCAGGGAGAGACCAAGGCCCAAGCTCAGATCTGCTGGGGAAGACAGTGAGAGATGTCTCTTCCCCTGCCACCCCACATGCCAATCAGCTGAATTTAGGTCCTCCAACCCGAGGCCTTGGCTGCTGCCCCTCACCAGCACCCCTCCCGCACCTCACAGGGGGGCAGCTGTAGTGACCTCAGGCCGCTGCCACGATAGCCTAGTCCAGTTTGGGGCTGCAGAGTCAAGAGGGCCCCGGCTCCCCAGCTCCCCACTGGTCCCAGCTGGAAGGAGGCTTGGCTGGGCTCTGGGTGCCTGCCGGCGAGAAGTGTGCAGGAGGTAGGGAACCCTGAGACCTCTCCTATCAGGTGTCATTGGGGACACTGCGATGGTCCCAGCGTAGACTTTGGCATTTGATACCAAACGGTGACGTCTCCACTTGATAAGGGCTCCACCCCCCAGGATGAGGAGTAGAGCAAGGGTCCTGGACACCCCGGCCCACACCAGGCTCTTCTCCCCACAGCTCCTGCGTCTGTTGTCTGCTGGCCCTGGAACTGCCTGTCTGAACCCTCTACCCTGACTCCCTCCCAGACCCCTGAACTCAGGTCTGGGGGTCCTTTGTGTCACCCCTCCTTTCTGTCCTAAGATGGCCTCACTTGCCTTAGATCCTGGGGGCCCAGGTTGGGGCCCAAGCCCTGGGCCTGGCAGTCACCAGGCCTCCATATCCTTGGCGGGGCCTGGTTCTAGGGGCTCCTACCTGTGTGCGTGTTGAGGGGCACCTGTGGGGAGGAGCCAGCAGGAGCAGCTGCAGGTCAAAGATCCGCTGGGTGCGCACATGACCTGCTGTGTGCCGAGCCCCATTAATGTTTACCCAGGAGCTGAGGCCCCCGAGGGGAGACCCTGCCTGGCTCCAAGGCCCAGGGGCCTTGCCCAGGCCCTGGTCTCCCTGGAGCTAGGAGCTCTGAGTCCCCAGCCAAGCTCCCTTGGAGTGGGGTGCCTCCCAAAGATGGGCCCCATTTTAGGTCAGGGGCATTGCAGGGCTGGACCCTGGAGGTCCTCCATAGGTGTCTGTGTGACTAAAGGACACTTTACCACGCAGGGCAGGCTGCTGGTGCTCTGTGGACCTTATCCTGGTCATCCCTGCCCTGACAGAAGGTAGAAGGAAGCCCTTTGCTGTAGGTGTGCAGGGAGGACAGGCTTCCTCAGGTGGCTGGAGAGGCAGCTGGCCAGGGTTTGGATCCTGGTTCAGGGCAGGGTGGGGCCTGGCCAGGCTCTCAGCAGGCTAGCCCTAGTGATGGCCAGTAGTGGGGTCCAGGGCATGGTGGCTCCATCTGCAGAGAGGGAGGGAGGAGGGCAGAGCCCATCCCAGGCCATACTGCCCAGTTGACTCCCTGATCCCCCCATTTGAACATTGCTCCCCAGCTGATGGCCTGACCTATAACTTGTGGGATGCCCTTTCTTGGGGTTAGGCTCCTTGCTGCCCCTGGCATGTGGGCTGGCTCTTTCCCCATAAGCCCTAGTGGCTCCAGCACCCTGCCATGCTCATGCCCATCCCCACCACCAGGAGCATAGGGGACTTTGCCCCAGGGAAGAAAGAGGCCTCTGTCCACTCAGCAAATTCTCTTTCCTCCCTATTCTGTCCCACACTGCCAAGGGGAGCCCCCCAGGTCTCCTGAATGACAGCTCCTTGCTATGGGGATAAGGCTGTTATAGCTCTGTCTTGGGGGGTCATCAGTGTCCACAGCCTCTGACCCCTGTAAAGGGTCTGAGGCCAGCTGGGCTGGGTGACCTGAGACTCAGAGCTGGCCCTGCCCACAGCATTCTCCTTGATGCCTGTCACCGTGTTTGGTGGCTGTGTGCTGTGGAGACCCTCCCAGAACAGTGCCTGACACGTGGTAGAGCTCAGTGAACGTTGTTGAACGACAAATTCACAGGGCTCCTGTGCAGGTCAGGGATGGAGGAGATGGCCCTGCCCTCCGCTCCTGGCTCACACCTCGGACCATGTGCAAGAGAGGGAGGCCCACATCCATTCAGGAACAGCCGCGGCCCAGAGCCGCTTAGGAACCACCTCTGGGTGAGTCCAAGCTTGGGCTGGCTTGCAGGTGCCTCAGCGGCAGCCATCTGGGCACACAAGGAATCTGGCCAGGTTGGTGGGAGGTCACCAGCTTCCTGTGGAGTCTGCAGCACTATGGCCAATAGTCCCCGACCTTAGGCTGTGACCTGAGGGCATCACAGTTGGGGTGGCAGCATCATGCTGTGCCATGTGAGGCTGTACCCAGGATGCCCTGTCACCAAGCTGTGGGTGGACCGCATGTATTCAGCGGTTCCAGCGCAGGCTTGGGCAGCAGTGCCCCCCACAGCAGTGGGAAGGAGCCCAGACCTCAGGGCTGCCCTGGGGGCTCCAGCACAGGCTGCCGCAGCCCCAGCAGCAGCCTCTGGGCTGGGGAAAGCGAGGCTGGGGGCCCGTGGCGGGGCAAAGCCCAGCTGGCTGCTGAGTGACGGGGGCGCTGCCTTTGAGGGGCGCAGGGGGGCGGCGCTCCATTCTCGGTGGCTCCTGCTCAGCCTTGACTGCCAGGAAGGCGGCCAGGTCGAGGTCCAGCATGGCCACCCCTCCACGGGGTGTGGGTGTGCTCTGGCGGCACTGTGGACAGGGGATCCAGTGCTGCTCGTGGGCCAGGGTGTCCAGCTGCCGAACACATGCCTGGCAGAAGGTGTGGCCACAGTAGAGGCGGCGGGGCAGGTGCCCAGAGAGGTCATAGGCTGAGTAGCAGATGACACAGTCGTCCCGCAGGGTCCCAGGGCCTGTCCCCTCCTCAAGGGCTTGGGGGGTCTCAGGCTGCAGCATCCTAGGGGAGATGTGCAGGGAAGCTGGCAGGGGCAGTGACACAGGTCACAGCTCACATCCACCTGTGTCTGTGACCATCTGGCACAGGTGGGGTGCTAGGACCAAGAGCTTGGGGGCTGGCCACAGGGCTGCACTTCTAGGGTGGGTAGCAGCCCTCAGGCAATCAGACACTAGGGCCGGGTGTGCTCTCTGGTTTTTTGTGGCCACTGGCTGGTCAGCATCCTTTCCCTTTCCACCCATGGCCTTCCTGTGCAACCCTGGCCCACCCTGCCCAGGCTGCTTCAGCCCTAGAGGCGCTTACCTGTTTCAGCTCCACTGGGCAGCTATGCCCAGCCAGTGGGTGGCCAGAGAAACAGGGTGAGGACCCAGGGCACCCTGGGACTCCCTCCCTGGGCTCGCGTTACTGGCCCTAGCATGGGCAAGGCGGCAGGAGGCAGCTGGTGGCTGCAGCAGCAGTGGCTCCCCTTTCAGCCACCAAGCACCTGCAACTGGATCTGAGGCACACCCACTCGCAGGAAGCAGGCTGACCCCTCCCCTTCACACCACTCCCTTCCTGTCTGCCATAAACCCCAGCAGACCTGGCCTCTGCAGTTCTTCCTCAAAACTCCCCCTCCTCACCTCTCACCCTCCCCATGTCCCCCACTCTCACCCTTTTTCTCCCACACCCTCCCTGCTCACACAAACTCTCCTCACCACACAGCTTTCTGGCCTCAGGCTGGGACAAGTCCCTCTTCAGTCCCCAGCTCATGTCACCTTCTCCAGGAAGGTTGCCCAGCACCTTGCTAACTCAGAGCCCGAGGGTCCTGGCTTCCCTGCAGCCTCCCTCAGGGGTGCACGTCCTTCACCCCAGTGCCTGCCAGGCTGGGTCTGTGATGTTCCAGTCATATGCAGCGGCCAGCCCTTTAGGCCACAAGGTGGCACTCACACACCATGCGTGGCAGTTCCCCTTACACAGGGACCATCTCAGACCCCCTCCAACATTCCCAGCTGGCCTCTGCCGGACTGTGGCCTCCAGGCCAGCCCAGGAAGCTTTGGTTCTGGAAGGTGTGGTGAGGTGCCCCGTGACAAAGACCACAGGCACAACAGAGTTGGGGGCACCCAGTAGGGTTGGAACAGACTAGCAGAGTCCCAAGGACCACTCAGCCCCACTGGGAGGAAGTCCAAGGGCAGAAGTGCTCTTCTTCCTCCTGCCCACCACCTTGGCAGTCTGCCTCCAGGACTGGTCAGACAGGTTCCCCTGCCTGGGTGGGGGCCAGCCATGGAGCAGGGACAAGGAACCCAGCACAGAGGTAGAGTAATGACCTGTCCGCTCACGCCCAGAGACCTCCACACACAACACACCTGCCTTGCCTGTCCTTTTGTGGCAGGGGAGGGCTGGCCACAGAGGACCCGTCTGTCTTGTGAGGCCAGCTCAACTGCCACCTCCATGTGGTGCCATGTCTCTGCCCTGCCCCAGAAATGTCAGGATGCCCACAGGGGGAGTTCTCATGCACTCCCTGCCCTGGTATCTAGTCCTTACATGTGGACAGGCACCCTGCGATGACAGACAGGGGAGCTGGCACCGTGGCCCCTCCTCCACCCAGCCCCCTCCCTGCCTTGCCTTCAAGAAGCCCAGCCTGGAGTGGGACAGCAGGCAAGAAGCACGGATCTGGATGTGCAGGAATTCCATGTTTTGTGGGAAACCAGAAAAACCACCTGGCTCAGACTGGGAGGTGACTCACAGGGGGCAGGGCTCCATCCTGACTCCTGGGCTTTGCTGTCCTGAGTGCCCCGCACCTGCTCCTCCCTCCACCATCCTACCAACCTGATCTTTCTGCCTTTCTTGGGGATCCCCCACCCCAAGAACCATGCATGGCATCCTTTTGCCATGTGACTTGGGATTGATCCTGCTCAGGGTTTCAGGCTCAGGCAGGGAGTGCAAAGTAGCCTGGCCATCCCCTGGAGGCCGGGAGCCTGCTGGGGAGGCTGTGTGTGCATAGTGTCTGCATGTGGGAAGATGCTGTTGTCTAGCCTGGGACCCCTCCCAAAGGAGCCAGCCGCAAAGGAGGGGTTGCTGGCACAGAGCTCACACTGCTTTATTGCCAGGGCCTTGTTGGAAGCATCAGGGTGTCCCTATCACCATCAACACAGCCAGTGTCCAGGACTCTGTTCCAAAGGGCCCAGTCTGAGCTGGTAGTCTTCCTGGTGGGCAAATGCCCATTGTCCAGGGGCAGAAATTAGAGATGCCCATGACATGGCCGCCCCTAATGTCCAGCACTGCCTTGGCTGCTGAGCAGAGGCCTAGGCCCACAGCCCCGATGGGGTGGGTAGCTATGAGACCACACAGCAGCAGCTGTGACAGCGACAGAATCGTGGGCAGTGGCAGCAGGAGCAGCAGGGGCAGCAACAGCAGTGGTGGGCAATGTCATCCCCACGCCCCACGGGTGGCAGACCGGCATAGGTCAGTCCTCCTGGGCGCTGTCCACTGCCATAGGGGTTGCAGGGCTGCTTCCAGGCCTGCTGGCTCTGGTCAGGAGCAGTCCCCTTGGCCCCTTTGGGTCCTGGGCCTTTGGTGGGCTGCAGGAGACAGGCTGGCTCTGGGGTGCAGGTCACCTCTGGCAGAGGCTGTGTCTCTGAGGATGTGGATGAGGGACCCTCTTCTAACTGCTGCCCCAGGTCAGGCCGCAGGTGAGCCCGGGGGATGCTGATATGGGCATAGGGGTTCTTGACCACCATCTCGTGAGGGTCCATGGCACAGGCTGTAGGAGTAAGCAGAGATGCAGACATCAGGTCAAGAGGAGGACAGTTGCCTGAGAGCTGCAGCCCAGGAGAGGCCTGCATCCCCAAGGCATCAGTGTTCACGGGCACAGAGCCCTCAGCATATGCAAGGCCCACATTTCACAGAGGTGAGCCCGAGTGTGAGCTTACCAACAGTGAAGGCCAGAGTCTCCAGCTGCCACCCCCAAAGTATTCTGGCCCTGCCCCTGGGATGAAGCTGGAAATGGGGTTGGGGAAGCTAGGAGACACAGCTGGGTTGGCCCAGGAAGGGCAGGGGCTCTCCTGGGTACCCTGAGAACAGATCAGAACCCACAGCCAGAACTCACCTGCAGGGCCAGTGGTGGCAGTCTGTCCTCCCAGTCCTCCTAGAGCCTGTGAGCGCAGCCTGGCAGCTCCCTTTTCCCTCCTCGGGAGGGGTGGGGCCCTGGGGTGGAGCTCAAAGATGGGGCTCCCAAGATCCCTAGAGGCCCCAGCAACTGGAGCACAGCAGCCCGCCCACCCCTCATTCTCAGATAGGTGTGGCCAAGGTTTGGGCTCTGAGGGGCACCGCCAACCTGGGGTGACTCAGGCAGGATGCATCCAGGGCATGCTCTGCACCCTCGATGTCTCACCAAGGAAAACCTGGGGTCATGGCCCCACAGAGGAAGTGCGATCAGCCCTCAGATCTTAGGGCCTGCCAGTGGTCTGGGGTCCCCAAACCTTGTTTGAGTCCATCAGTGCCCCAGCTGGGGCTGAGTTCCTCCCTAGCCTACACCAGCTACTTGGGGATTTTCCACTTTTCTAGTTAACAATAAACGTTTGACACAACTTGGTAGGTAAACCTTACTTAGCTTGCAATTGACCACACGGACTTCAGACACAAGTAACAGTGTTTTCAGCTCACTTCCCCAACTACACTTTCCCTCCGGTTGGTGGGCTGGGCCAACCTGCCCCCAGTGCCCCATCTCTGGCCCTGGCCCCTTCCCAACTCCGCAGCTTCGGCTCCCTGGTCTTTAGCAGTCACGCAGGGTCGTGGGGGTGACAACAGGTGCAAGCTCTCGGGGGCCGGCTGGGCACTGGTGGGCTCCCCTAGACCCTGCACCTGCAGAACTCCCGCCGGGGAAGCACAGGGACCAAATGGTAGGTGACCCGATGACCAGGGTGACGGGATGGCCTGCGTGAGGCGGTCATATCAGTCCGGACACGACTTCTGGCTAACCAGAACGTGTGGTGAACTGGGCCTGGGAACTCCGGCTTCGGAGGCAGAAAACGCGAACACACTGCGAAGGCGTCGGAGGCCCCGCCCATCGCTCTCTCAGACCCCGCCCCTAGCGACAAGGCGGAGTCTGGCGCATGCGCGATCCGGGCTGGGGCGCTCAGTGGAGACTATTCCCCCAGAAGCCTCAGCGCTTCAGGGTTTCTCAAAAGACCCGGTTCGGAAGCTTAGATATTTGGCTTGGGCCTCCCGGAAGGGCGGGGCGGGGTGGGCCTGAATCTTTACGGGGCGGGGCCACGCTCTACTGGGCGGGGCCTCAAGCAAGGGGTGGAGTCGACGGCCGGGTGCCTCCTCACGTGCGGGACTGGCGAGCCCGCAGGTCAGTGCACAGATCCTGCAGCCGAGGGTGGGCTCTAGGCCTTCTGGCCGCAGCACCTCAGTTGCCCCACCGTCATGGTAGGCCCCATAATGCCGCCCCTTCAGATGCACTCCTGCTCACTTGCACACCTCTCACGTCTGCTCGGTGGAATGAGTCCCGCAGAGCCACAAGGCGGCCCCGTGTTGCTCCACAGGAACACCGTTCCCTTGGTCTGGCCTGTAGAGAGGAGAGAGGCTGTGGCCCTGAAGGAGGCCTGGCTGTCTAGGGTCAGGCACAGAGCCTGGTCACTGAAGTGGCAGCGTGCTACATGGTGGCCTTGCAGGGCGAGGGATGGCACTCCGGAGGCCCTGACGCTCTCGATCCCCAGCCCTGCAGTTACCAGCAGGGGTCATCCAGCAGGAGAGTCACCCGGGGGTCCTCTCCTCACGTGAGGGCTCCCCACGGGTGGGGAGAGACTGTAGCCAATGGACAGGGAACCCTGCTGAGGAGAAAACAGAAAGGAATGGGGCCTCTCTGCTGGGTGGGGTCAGGTTAGCACACAACGAGTGATGACGGCGGCGTGCCTTCGTTCTGACCTGATGGGATGCCAGGAGGGCCACTCCCATCCTGGGCAGGTGAGTGTCCTCCGTGGGCTGCTCTCTCCACCCAACACGTGAACTGTCCAACTATCCAGCCATCTTCAACCTTCCGCATACTTCACCCCACCCATCTGTCCACCACTCCTCCAAGTCTCCTGACCCCCGAACCCCCTTGGTCCACTCTTGTGGTATCTGCTTGACCTCCCCATGCTCATCCCTCCTGAAGTCACATCCCTCTCTGAGCCGTCCAGGACTGGGCGCGCGTGGGTGTGCGGATGAGCAGAACACGAGGCATTTCCACGGGGGGCCGAGTGGAAGGACAAGCAGAGACCATACTCCTGGGGATCACGTGAGGGCAGGCACAAGGTGGGGCGGTGGGTGGGACCCAGCTTTCCTAGAAACCCCTCTGGGGTCCTCTCTCCTCCCCACTTGGGGCATTGTGAGACCTCAAAATGTCAAGGAAAAAAGAGGATTTTCCTTCCAGAGTTGGGGGTGGGGGGTTGCCAGGACCCAGGGTCAGCCAGCAGGGGAGGGACGGATTGGGGGGCAAAATGGGGGTCCTGACCCATACGCAGCTTACAGGGGAGGGCGACCCCAGGAGCGGCGCCGGGCCTGGAACCGATCGAGGGGCGGCCGAGAGACTGGCCCCGCCCCGCGGACCCCGCGCGGGTCCCCAGACAGGGGGTGGCGCTGCGGGCGCGGGCGGGCGCCGCGCGCACTGCGGTCCCCGCGCCTCCGCCGCAGAGCGCGCCACGCTCCGCACGCACCTGCCGCCGCCGCCGCGCTGAGCCCGGCGCCCCGAGCCCCGCGCCCGCGCCCCTGGGTGCCGCCCGCGCCCGCCATCGCCCGAGGTCGCCGCCGGAGCCGCCGGAGCCGCCCGAGCTGCCTGAATCTCCCGAGCCTTCTAGCCACCCGGCCAAGGCGCGGGCGCCGCATCCGGGCCTGCCTTTGAGACAACCTCTGCGGCGGCGGCGCGGCCCGGGGACGCCAGGCTGGGGCAGGTGAGCGGGGGAGGGGCGGGGGTCCGACTCATCGCCCCTACCCACCCTGGCAGGGTCAGCCCTCCGGACCCAGTGTCTGGCCTTGGAGGCGGGGACTGGGGAGGGAACTGGGTCCCGCGGAGGTCGGGTTCTTACCGCCCGAGGTCAGGGTCAGAGGTCGGGCGTCCGTCCTTTGTGCAGGGTGGGAGTGAGGGCGAGGGTGGAAATGGGCCGGAGTGCGCCCCTCATGCTATTTCTCACCTTCAGCTCGGGCCTGGTGCAGGCCTCTCCTCTGATCGTGCCGCGGAGCCTGCCGCCCAGGTCCTCCTGCAACCAGTGCCCAGGCTAGCTGCCTTCCCTGGGCGCCCTGTCCTGGAGCCATGGGGCCCACCTAGCCCCTGCCTGCCCCGATGTCCCGGCCCAGGGATTGCTGACCTCGGCTGCTGGGGGGGCTCCCCTCACGCCCCCTTGCCAGCCTCAGCAGCCAGCGACCCTGGGTGAGCCCCTAGGTCAGACCTCCAGCCCAGGGCAGCCCCCCACACCTCCCTGTCCCCGTCTGCCTCCCCCACCACCACCACTTCCTCCTCCTCCCAGGACTGGACCAGAGAAGCCACTGTGGCCACTGGGCGGCGGGCTGACCCCCCAGCTCTCACCGGCTGCCCCTAGGAGTCCACGGGGCTGCCGGGGTCCCCACCAGGCCTGGCAGGACCAGGATGCTGCTCCCTCTCTTCCTCCCCGCCCCTCACCGACACCCTCTCCTACGCGAAAGTCCAGTCTGACTGCAGACAGCCGAATGCCGGCTGACCCTGGGCCCGAGGTGGGCAGTGGCTGGCCGGGCCTCCTCATGTCCTGCCTGAAGGGCCCACATGTCATCCTCAAGATGGAGGCCATGAAAATTGTCCATCCTGAAAAGTTCCCTGAACTCCCGGCAGCTGCCCCCTGCTTCCCACCTGCACCCCGGCCCACCCCCACTCTGGCACCCAAGCGTGCTTGGCCCTCACACACAGAGATCATTGTCAACCAGGCATGTGGGGGGGACATGCCTGCCTTGGAAGGGGCACCTCACACCCCACCCTTGCCACGGCGGCCCCGCAAGGGCAGCTCTGAACTGGGCTTCCCCCGAGTGGCGCCAGCGGACGAGGTCATTGTGAATCAGTATGTGATTCGGCCTGCACCGGCTGCCTCTGTGGCTTCTTCATCAGGGACTGGGACAGTTGCAGCAGGTGAGCCCCTGGAGTGCCCCACCTGCGGGCACACATACAACGTTACCCAGCGGCGGCCCCGAGTGCTATCTTGCCTGCACTCTGTATGTGAGCAGTGCCTGCAGATTCTCTATGAGTCCTGCCCCAAGTACAAGTTCATCTCCTGCCCCACCTGCCGCCGTGAGACTGTGCTCTTCACTGACTATGGCCTGGCTGCGCTGGCTGTCAATACATCCATCTTGAGTCGCCTGCCTCCGGAGGCACTGACTGCCCCATCCGGTGGCCAATGGGGGGGTGAGCCTGAGGGCAGCTGCTACCAGACCTTCCGGCAGTACTGTGGAGCTGCGTGCACCTGCCACGTGCGGAACCCACTGTCCGCCTGCTCCATCATGTAGTGCCCACCTGCCCACTACTGCGTGCCAGTCCTCGCTCGATGCTGCTTCAGGGATCTGGCCCTGCCCTGTTGCCTGCCGACCTTTCCTCACCCACTATGGCTTCTGGCCCCACCCCATGTGGCATTGTCACTGCAGCCAACTTTGCCATTAAAACTCTTTGCCAAAGTTTGTACCTGTCCCCTGGACTAGAGCTATGGGCTATGCCCAAGCCTGGGCACAGGGTGGGCACCTGCAAGAGGGAGGCCACCTTCTGCTCAGGGTTGGCTTTCTCAAGCTTGGTGAGCATGTCCTTGGGAGGACCGGGTCTGGCTGTGAACAAGTCCCCCTCATGTTGGTGCAGAAGGGCTGCTAGTGTGCACCACAGAGGGCTGTGTGGCAAATGTGCAGAACTGCCCAGCCGGGCAACTAGGACCTTCCCTTGGCACCAGCCAGTGGCTGTATGGAGAACTCACCTGGTCCTGAGTACCTGTGCTGGTCTACCACGGTTATGTAGGAAAAACCTTTGGGCCAGTTATGAGCAGTGGTTTCCAGATGGCCCAAGACTGTGATGAGAGTACAAGGACCCAGGTCTCCTGTCTTGATGTCTGGACCACTTGGGTTTGTAGAAAGTACCTTTGCAAGGATACTTTGTAGGGACAGCAGCCTGGATGGTGGAGGTGGGGTAACAGCAAGGACAGGCAGGGCAACAATGGTATTAGCAGCTACTGTTTATTGAGAACCACTTTTGCCAGGACAGCACTTAGCACACAGTGCTGGGTCTCACATTACATCACCAACAAGCTGTGAGGTAGGCCACAGCTGTCCCCCTTTTCAGGTGAGGGCCTTAGGCTTGGAGGTGGGAGGTGGTGCAGGCAGGCAGAGCAGGGGCTTTGGCCTGGCACTCCTCAAGCTCCAGGGCCTGCATGGGCCCTTGTCCCTTGCCACACACATCTAGTGGTGGCACCCTGGATGCTCCAGACCACCCTCTGGTCCTGGCCCAGGTTGGGCATGTACAGTGCAGGCTCCTCCTGCTGGCCACCCTGACCTTCAGGGATGCACACCGGCCTGTATGATGGGTGAGCCCCTGTCCTCTCCAGGGAACAGACTCACTGCCAGATCTCTGTTCACATCCACATCTGCCTGCTCAATTGGACCTTGGAAGGTGGAGGTGTGGGCCAGTGTGTGCCCATGGCCAGACTGTCACTTGCAAGCATGTGGGGCCCTGCTCACAGACATTTCTGCTGGACTGGCCTCCTCTAGCAGCTGTCCTTGGCATGATGTCCTTGGGCTCGTCAGAGTTGGGTCATGAGGGCGGGGGGGGGGGGGGGGGGGCTTTCTGGTAGAGTCGGGCTTCTGGGTAGCCCTGGGTCCTGGTCTTGGGTTCAGTGATAGTAGGTCTGGACTGAAGGCCAGTGCCTGGGTTCTGCTCAGCGGCCAGAGCGGTCCAGGAGCATGAAGAGCAGCCCCAGCAGCATGAGTGGCATGAAGATGAGCAGCAGCCCCAGCAGCTCAAGCACTAGCAGGCTCAGCAGTGCCAG